CGCAAGCTTGACTCCCGTTCTCCCCAGTTAGTCTGCCACAATGATCGAGAATGCACCGGAATCAATGGTACCCCGGGGTACTGCAATAATGGAATTTGCGTGGCTGATCCTCCCCACAAGCTCAGCGCTCGATTTCCCCAGTTAGTGTGCCATAATGATCAAGAATGCACCGGAATCAACGGTACCCCTGGGTATTGCAGGGGAGGTATCTGTGTCGCTGATCCATGATTGAAGATTGCATGTCTCTCATCTGATGTGACCCCAGCTTCCTTCAAAGTTGAAATTGGATCTCGTTGCCACCTCAATGCATACATTCCGGCTAACTCGGTGTGGATTGGTTAGACCCAAGGCGTGTACTGAAAATAGTTTCTAATTAGTGAAAAATCCGGCGTTTCTATTGCCAGCTAACCCGATAAAATTGACATTATTCTCATCGTTCATGGTTCGTTTCTCCAAGGCTTCGTAGTAGTAGGTTAGTAGTAGCACATTGCTCGTAGGCTTCGACACCACCCGAACTTTTGGGTGCTGCATTATAATTCTGCAGGTGCCACTTTATGTTTCCGGTGTTTATAACATGCCCCTACCTACAGCAGCTGCGGTCTGAGCGTTGGATGATTAGGCATTAGAGGGCTAAGTTGGGGCGATGATGTCGAGGTCGTTATAAGGCGGTGTGATTCTGCCGGATAAGCTTGATTCGTCTCCAGCTTTCTTGGACAATCGCCTTCCTTCATCCTCGCGAGTGCTTGTTCCTTTCTCCCCCCAAATGTTCGTTCATAATGTCTTACAGTCGACCAGAAGATACCAGATACCCTCCTGGACCTCCTCCTCGGCCGTTCCCTCGTAGGGACGATAGGGACGGCCGTATGTATGACGACAATTCTCCAACCCGTTCTCGCTCACCTGGCGGTACATACAACCTCCCCGCATATCATTTTCAAAAATATTATGAGAAACACTAGAACAGGACTCACTTTCTGCAATCTACAGGCCCTTCCCGTACTCCACCTCGAGGCCCCGCGGCTGACAGAAGTCGCGACTACCCTCGAGACCATCCCGACTCTAGACCCCGATATCGAAGTCGAGACCGCGAGGAGTTCCGACGGCGGTCCTCGCGGTCACCCCCACGACGACCGCGACATAGTTACCGTGACCGTGATCGCGAAGGTTATCGCTCGCGCAGTCGAAGCCGAAGCTACAGTCGGAGTCGAAGCCGAAGCCCGCGGCGGGGTCGACCACATTATGGACAAGAAAGTAGAGAGGTTATGATGGACGGTTTACCGGTGGACATGGCGGAAGAAGACGTTGGGCAACTCCTTCCCTCCCTTTCTGTCCCATTAATCTCTTTGATCTCATAAATCTGGGGTCCCAGAGTTGCGCTGCATGGTACAAATCTTTCGTTATGGCATGAGGCTGAGAGTCGACGTGATCAACAGATTTCGCAAGAATTGAAAGAATTCTACTATATCGAGGGCTTGGAGGAAGTCCGTGTCATTCGAGATCGCCAGACTAGTAAGTAGTCAGTCGTTCCTCGTGCGGTCCTTGCTGTTTCTGATGCGGCGCAGAAATATCTCGCCAGTTGGGCTTTCTTCGATTCCGAAGTCTGAACCACTCTCGTTCGTTTGTTGAACAGAATTTCCCAACGATATACTTGTGTGGACCGAGGGCGCAGGACGACCGTGGTACCCCAGTGCGCATCGCGTACAGCCGGGAAAGGGAGGACCGCGCTAAAGCTAGGGCTGAAGGAGATTGGACATGCATGATGGTTAGTAGTATCAATTTTCCTCGACAGTCAAGATCTGATGAGATAGTGCGCTATTGTCAATTATTCCACCCGAAATAAGTGTTTCCGATGCCAGGCACCGCGACCAGGTATGCTTCTGAAGTCTATTGATGATCTTTCAACTAACATCATTAAGACGCCGGACCCGCCGGCCCTCCGGGTATAGTTGCTGCGTCTCGAGTAGACAACCACGGCGACAACGATGCTGCTCCGGATAATCAACCCTCTCAATTCCTGCTTTTCCGGGGGCTTGAAACTTCGGTAACCGAAGAGCTCCTGGCCAAGGGGGTCGCCAAGCTCTATCGTCCAAATTCGGAAGGCACTCCCGGTAACCAGAAGAAAGGTGCCAAAGTGGCTTCGACCACCGGCGACTCTAACCTCGGAGCTCGTGATGGTTCAATACGACGTGTGCTATTAGTACGAGACCGCAGAAGTAACGAGAGCTGGCGGTATGGGTTCGCAGAATTTGCTACGATTCAGGTATGTCGTTTTATATCGATAGTATTCCGAGCTAACAAGCACAGGATGCGCAAGCGGCTGTTTCACGGCTTCACTCATTTGAAAAGTTTACCATCTCATCTAGGCCAGTGATGGTTAGCTATATTCACGCAGGTGTTTTCGTGCCGGTCATGAACCCGACTGCCAGTACCGAAAGATTTACTTTCAGCCCTCTGAACAACCCAGCCATGAAACTGATGTACTGGGATGAGGATGCATATGTTAATGAGCTTACGGTATCGACTGACCCAGAACCCCAGCAAGCGCCAAAAAACGATAAACCGACGGGCCAGTCCGAGACGAAATCCAAAGAGGCGGCCGATAAAGCGAAGAAGCGAAAAGCTGATCCCGCTTCCAGCGCCACGGGAGCTAAAAAGATGGCAATGCCGTCTCATCTCCAGTTCTGGAGTAACCGTCATGCGGAATTACACGGCATCCAAAAAAAGGATACTGACGAACAAGTCGCTGGAGACCAAAACCCGCCCGATACAGCCGCTCCGCCGCGTCAGTCATACGCCGACCCCAACCGGAATTGTTGCTATCTCTGCATGCGACAATTCAAGGCTACGACAGAGGTCAACCGCCACGAACGATTGAGTCAGCTCCACCGCGGTAACCTGCAGAAAGAGGAGCTCGTCACCAAAGCCACAAACAAGCTCATAAAACACGGTATCATCCCACAACCGCCCGAGTACCGAGACCGCGCACGCGAGCGTCGCAAGGCTTTCGGCCGCTCCAAGAACGCCGCAACGGCAAAATCGGCTCCAGCAGTGGAACGCGAGCCATCACCGCCAGCGGAAACAGCGTCAAAGGGCGCCTCGCTCCTCAGCAAAATGGGCTGGTCTGCGGGCACCGGGCTAGGCGCACAAGGCACAGGAATGACAGCTCCCATCACAACAGAAGTCTACGCGCAAGGCGTCGGGTTAGGAGCGCAAGGAAGCAAACTTGGCGAGGCCAGCGAGGAAGCCGGCCGCAACACTCGCGGCCGATATGATGAGTTTCTGGAGAAAACAAGACAGACAGCGCGAAACCGATACGAGCAAATGGGCAAGTGATAGGAGAGTGTGTATATGTATAATAACCGAACAAACCCAAACCAATATCATACAGTTGTGGTTTCGACATCCATCTCATTTTAAACGGATATATGCATCCGTCTAAGTGCTTCTCTAACCCTCATGTAGACTTCTCCCCTTCCCCGCCTGACGTATCATTCAAATCCTTCAACTTTCCCCCTTCGATCTTTTTCCCCAAATATCGCATCACCCAAGCTTCAACCTCCTTCTCCATCTCCTCGTCTGTCTTACTAGACTCCCTGTCCCCCTGCGCCATGCTCTTCTTCACATAAGCCCTCATATCCTCAATCCCATTAATCCCCATCGCCCAAAGAACCCCGCCACTAGCCATCATACCAAAACTCAACACATTCACTGTTGCCAGATGCAGAGCCTCGAATGCCTCCATCCCGCCATTTACTTCGGGCTTGTGGTATACGGAGGTTGTGTAGAAGGGCGGGATCGAGGCCCTGAAGCGACGGTTTAGGGCGCGCCGGGTGGAGAAGAGGGAGAGGGCGAAGAAGAGCGCGCCGCCGAAGAAAAGCTTCGTGTTTGTTTGCGGCGTCCAGAGTTTGGGGAGGTCATCGGTGTCTGTCTTGGGTTTGCTTTGTGGGGGTTGTTGTTGAGGCACTTCGGCTTGTGGTTGTGGTGTCGGCGTCGTTGATGGTGTGGATTCTGCGCCGGAGGGTTTGGGGGTTGGATTTGAGCGGAACCAGGAGAATACGTCAACCATTTTGCTTGCTTTTCGTCCAAGGGTATCTCTTCTTGTCTGGTGATTATTGGGCTTTGAATCGCAGCTATTTGCACTGTCTCCTGCCGCAGGAGTATGGGGTGTGGAAGCGGAAATAGGATGAGGATCGGTGGATAACGAATAAACAAACAGACTGGTTAGACAGAAATCCGATTCGCGAAATCAATTCCGCACAATGGAACAATGAAGATGTAGGCTTGATTCAGGAACAGATTGAGAAGCTGACGAGAGGTACTTTTGGGATGCGGAGATTTAGGTCACGTGCGCTGACCCGGCGATAACGCTGCTCAATCGGAGCTAAGCATGTTCCTCCGCACGAAGATACTTACAAATTGGAATAAAGTTCGATATTCTGATTGGATATTATGAAATGTATATAGTAAAGTATGTGTCCAGGGTCAATATCGTGTAAGTCCCGTAGTATATATGTGATGAATCCGTAGCACCTGCTTCTTAGCCCAGTCTACCATATCCTCCGGAAGGTTCTCCATTGAGCAAAGGCTCTCCAGAGAAGGTCTGATAAACCACCCTCCTACGAATGGTGCCATATGTTGAGGAGATTGCTTTGCTTCCCCTGACGCCGAAGGATACTCGATCCGCTTGTCGGTAATCGGCATGGAACCTGTTTGGCTGCCCAAGTAAAACGGCACGCTTGCACAAATGTCCGTCGCCAGGGTACGGATCGTCGCTATAGTATATTGCATATCCTCCACCCGACTAGGCAATAGGGATAAGCAGCGGAATATGATGTTTAGCACCGTGAGTCTAAAAGTGCGGTAGTTGTCCCATGTCTCTGCAACCCAGAGGTCAACGTAGCAGTCGCACCGGCCCTGATAGGCGCCAGATTCCCGGATAGACTGAGGCAAGAATGTGGCCGGGGTCGGTTCCCAGTGTTTGGGTAAGGAGTGAGTCCAACCAATGAACTGGTCATCAATATTGCGGGCGTCGGAAAGAATAGCCTCAACCTCGTCCAGTTTCGTTACATCTGCGCAAGCAGAGAATTTCATCCAGCGTTCTTGCAACTTCACCAACGCTGTAGAGATCATCATCAGTCGCGAAGACGCCAACTCCGGAATGCCAGGTGAAAATGGCCAAACTTCAGGTGTCCGAAGCATCGGCAAAGATCCATCGATGGCAGAAAATACCTAGTTGGTCAGTTCACTTTTAGATGCAAAGGTGGGCAAAGAATGGGGCTTACGATCTCTCCTTGGATTGCATTGGTCAGCGTGTCCGATAAAGCGGAGGATCGCCGTTCAGGTCTACAGCTATTTATCAGAGCGATCGCGCCTCGCAAATGGTGTTTAGGCGAGGGCTTGTTCTCTTTGATAGAGACAAATTCCTGGGCCGTTAGTCCATACATCCCCCGACAACCTATTTAAATACTCACTTCATAAATGTAAAGCAAAACCAACGTCATTAAGATATCATCATAGTTCTGTTCAATATTTCCCTGCAGTGCAAGGCGAGTAAGTGATAGCGCCTTTCCAAAGCACTGCTGCGCAGACCGGAGTAAGCTCTCCTGTCCAGTCCAGGCAGCAACTCCAAAATAGGCCACTGCCAAGGAGCTCATGCGCAAGGCCGAACCAAAGGGGGCAGCTCCATATAACTGAGGAAGAAGTTCCATCGATCCCGGTCGTATCAACGGGTCTCTAGGTGTGTAAATGTACGAATTGAAGAATAAAGCGGTTACGGTCTCTTCCATGGGCAGGTACAAACCACCGGGAACCTGCGGAGAGATGATGGGGCCTGATGTCACCGGGTAGAATGGTTGAGGTGAAAGCTCGGAACTAGGCGAATTCGAACTTGAACTTGAGTCTGCCTTCACATCTACCTCGTCACGTTTGGGGAGGGATTGCACTGTCAAAGCAGTCGCTGTGTTTCCACTCCTGCGGTTGAATGCTTTCTGGGGTCGCAACACCACATCTAGTGGGTGCGGATACCCCGGGCACACTCGATCTGAGCGAGTGCAGGCATTGCAGTGGGGGCGCGTCTCATCGCACTGGGAGGCAAAATTAGCCATGGCCAAGGATAACGAAATGGACGGGATTTGGTTGGTTACTTTGATGCGTCTGGAGCGGCATGTCTGACAGCCAGTACTAGGCCTTCCGGGGTACACCATTCTAGTGCGAAACGTTGAGTAACGTATGACAAAAACGATCTATCAATGGACCCAGTCCATTGTCGATGGACTTCATATGGACTACAGCACTTTGCTCAGCTGAAAGGAGGTGAGTCGATGACTCGCAATTCTCCATTAAAAGCAGCCTAAACCACGTGGTTTCACGTGTTGTCAGACAGACAACGTGACTCCAGCAGCCCTAGCTCATCCCGTTGGCAGAGGCAGTGCATACATCAAAGTGGAGTAAGAACGGATCAAGAGGAAATTTCCCTTTGCAAGTTGTGATAACGCCATGCTATGCTAAGTACAGGGTAATGCGACTTATAAGCCGCAAACTAAGGAGAGGGGAAAAAGTCATGGAACAACAGAAAAGCATCACCATACATCATTATCATTATGCTCGTCAACCTAGGATATCTATTCGTCGCAGTCATACCATAAACCCATCACTCATATCTCACAAGTAAACGCATTATTTCATCGTGCCAGTAGTAATGAGCATATCAGCACGTCCCGGTCGACTATACCGATCAATGCCCAGGTGCTCCATACCATCGCGTCCCACGTAAATCCCAAAACCGTACTTAGGATAATCCTTGTCGCCTGGTGGAGTAATGACTAACCTCGTGACAAGGTCTGTTCTGCTACGCGGCTCCCGCAGCAGCTTATCCGAAAGCAGGGGGCTCTGGTAGAGGAAGCTCATCTGATCAGCAAGGGTGCTGATATCGTGTGGCAGATAACGACGACGTCCAGGCCAAATAGCCAGAAAAGAAACCATGTAAACGGCACAGAACCCAACAATTGCGTAGAAAGCGGGCATTACAGATGCAATCTTGATCCCATCTCCTGGGTAGGTAAGCGCGATAAAGACGCCGCCGGCCAGGATTGGAATAGCTCCAGAGACAATGCTCATCAGAGAGATCCAAGCTACCTTATAATGCTTGTTGGCGAGCGCCGTGAGGGTGACTTGAAAAGGTAAGAGAGAAGAATATGACAGTAATAAGCTCTGCTCTGCCGAGGCTCCTTCGGGGGAAGACAGCATGACGTATGGCTGTAACGCACGAAAGTAGAAATCGATATGCTGCCATGCAAGAAATAGAAGGTTCCCGATTAGCGCGGGAATGAAGCTGTACAGAAAGTTGGAGGAGGAAAAGGCGTTTATTGAAGGCCGAGTTGGCAAGTGTGGCTTAAACCCTCCTTCGACGCCGTTGCGAACGAAGCTGACGACAACAAACGCAATAAACAGCGCGCAGATGATAACTGTCCAAACAACAACAGCGGCTTTTCGGAGGAACCATGGGGCCCATCGGTAACGGATGTTCGGCGAATACAGCCCCTCAGAGTCGTCCTTTCCAGATTCATTTTGCTTCTCGGCATCAAAAGAAACTTTTGAGATATGTTCTCGACGGTGTTTTGGTACAAGATGCAGGGAAGGGTTTCCAACCGTACCACCAACCTCTCCAATTCCGTAGAAAATCTCTGGATGACGTCCTTGGGATAGCTTCCAATAACCCAGTCGAAGCTTTCTCGGTTTCAATGCCTCACCAACATCGGTATCAGTCTCCGTACCCTCAAATTCAGGTAGAACATTCGAACGCTGGATAATGGTGATCAAGTCGGCAAGGCAGATAGGGTCCCACATCAACCCCGACCACGTCCGTAGAAATCGGATCATCAGCGAAATTAGTCCTACTGCGAGCAAACCGTAGACCGCTATCAATACCCAGCCGACTGCCGTCACTGCAGCCCAGCGCCATGATCCCTCACCATCTATAACAAACCACTTAACTTGGTAAAGACAACCAAGGAGTGGCACCGCGATGAAGTTGGAAAGCCATATAGAGAATAACGAAAATCCTACCAACGCCTCGCCATGAATGAAATGCGACAGATCCGGAAGTAAGAAATTTTTTGGCACAATCGATAAACCCTGTAGAACCTTTTTGTAAGGCCGCTCGGATCCCATTATCGCGAAAGGTATTATGCGATAAACCGCAGCTTGGATGACGAATGTCAAAATGGAAATGAAAATCCCCAGAATTTGAGGGAGAAATTCCACCACAAAGTACCGCGAACCGCCTCGCCCGTCGTACCCCCAGAAGCCTTGGTGATCTTGAGACCAGACATTGCTAAAGGCAATGCCGGCGATCATCAGCAGAACACAAACGATTGCCATGCCCAATGCCCATGGTCGAAGTATAACAGGTACAAAATCTAGCGGTGGGTATATTAAGTTCCCCTCCGGCGGGTCAACTGCAACAAACGCCTCTGGGTCAACGGAAATCTGAGGGTCCCTTTCTGGCGGCAATTGCTGCTGCTGCGGCTGCTGCAGTGCAGGCGTTGGGGCACGGACAAAATGGCCCAACCCGCCATCCCAGACCAAGCGCTCAGTCGGAGTCGACCCAAGTTCACTTTCGGTCGACCTTCTTGCATCCTCCTCTTCCCCTTCTCTGGTGAGCTGATTGATAGCGAAGCGAATGTACGGCGAATCATCGTTCCCGGGAGTCGGTCCTCGCCCCGCATAACTGTCTGTCGGATGCCCTCCACCAGCCCCGTCCAAGGATAAACTGGGATGTGGATTTACATTCCTGTTCTCGGTCGATTGCGTTGCACTATCAATCTGGGTAACATGGGTTTCCCGCTGCTCGGCCGGTATGTCCAGGTTCTGTTCTGCTCTCGGGACAGGAACGGGAGGGGCTAGCAGCGTCCGAGACACGGTGGGCGATGAGGTCCGCGATACAGGATGCGAATTCGGCGTTGCATATCGCACTACGGTCGCTCGACTTCTGCTACTGGCGCCACTCGCACCACTCGTTGACCGTGTAGTAGGTGTGTGGTTGGAGAGTGAGTAGTAGTCATCCGAAGCGGCCGCGGACTGTTGCGACTCGGAGCGAAATAGTTGCGGTCTGCTTGCTGCGGAGTGTAAGTTAGATACCCATGTTGATTTGAATATACTTCGAACCAAAATAGGAAGTAGACTAGAGTTACTCACAGCTGACTGTCCTCAAGCTCACATTCCCAGCTCCCGGGGCAAGCATGGCGGCGGGGTTGGCCGAGGAATGTATGCAGCAAAGCTTCACTTGCAGGAATCGAGATACATTCCGGGGGTCGAGGGTATGGTCTTGATGACGACGAACCAAAGAGATAAAAACTCAATTGACAATAGCCGAGAGAATGCGAAGAGAGGACGAAGCTCGTGTTTCTGGGCTTGAAAGCGAGAAGGCTGGCTTATGGGTGCGTTTGCCAGCCCCCTCCAAGCCCAGCCACCCACCAGCGAGCCCGACATGGAAATGAGGCGAATAAGACTGAAAGCCACCGATGTTTAACATGGTCCCCGATGATTGGATATCAGACTGAGACGGCCATGACGTGGTTGGATCGTTAAAGCTTAACTGTTGGGTTGGGTTTTTGGGTGTTGAGTTGGCAGGAGTTGGCCGAGGCAAGGAGACGAAGCTCTCCATTGCGGCCCAAGAAGCAGCGTCACTGCGCACCACTTTTTGAGGCTGGACAGTATTTTCTGACATTAGAAAGCAGTCTATATTAAACTATGAAATTATCCTTGACGTATGTACTGCCCTTCCGATCCATGCTGAGGTCCAATAGCGAACAGTAACTCTATGCTTGTCCTCCCCAATGCAAATGCTGTTGGATTCTCGTATTAACGAGAATTAAAAAAACGAAAAAAGAAAACACATCATGCAATGCCCACCGCTTTTTTTAAGAGTCGACACTTATGCAGCGTAAAGGTACGCGGCGACGACACCTCCCCAGCCACCGGAGTTTTCTTCTTCTGTCGCGATCGCGCGGTGGCCGTCGAGCACCATGTTGATTGTGCTCTTGGTGTTCGTTCCATAAAGATAGACTGCTGACGAGTCCTGAATCTGGATGGCATTCTTCTGGCATTTCCCATTGTTTGATTGGCAGTCTCCGCCGTTGTTGAAGAACACCCAGTTGCAGCCTCCATAGAGGAAAATGTTCGACGAGCCATGGATCCGCTCAAACAATCCCATCCGACAGAGGGCGTCTCCCTCAGCACACTGTGAAAAGTCGGGGTCACTGTTGACAAGGTTATCCTGCCAAGGAGCAGGGGCCAGCACGTTGCCTGGGCCTTGCCAGTATGCCGATTCGCTCTGCTGCATGGTGGAAAACACGTTGTGCGCAGATTCAAAGTTGTACTGGTAGAGCGTATGGTGTTCGAATCCAGTTCCAACGAGCCAGGTGGCAGCGGTCGCTTCCACGAGGATGCCGCGCCCAGTGGCAATAATTTGACCGTTCTCACCGTCAAGGTCATGGTCCGCTGTCCATCCCCACATGTTCTCGATATAGGCAGAGGAAGTACTGGTGAGATGGAGGGTGGCCCAGGCTGCCTTGCACTTAGCTGGGCTTCCTGCACATTGGCTCTCAACTTTGCTTCCGACTGCACCACCAACTCTGATATGACTGTTCCAGAATCCGACGTCACCAGGCTTTGCACCGGCGATGTTCACTTCGATCTGAATCATGTAGCGTTAGTATAGTAAGGAGAAGGTGCCTAAGGATACTAACCATTTTACAACCAGGAAGAATATCCCCAACCGTGAACATCATGTCAGTCACCTGCGCGATGCCAACATCCCCAGGGTATCCGAACCTGACCATAGGCCGAACAGCAGCCGGGTTCTGGAATTTCACACCAACAGCACTGATGGTTGAAGCAAAGGAGTCACCGACAATGCGTCTCCCGGCGGGAACAAAGATAGTGTCCGTCACCATGTATGTTCCAGCAGGGAAATAGATTACGCTGCAGCCGGCGCTGTCTGCCAAGATATCGTTGATATTCTGCGTGTCATCAGTTGTTCCATCTCCGTAAACCGGTCTGCCCTCGACGTTCTTAATGTTCAAAACTTGGCTAGCAGAGAATTCCTGGAATGTCGGGGCCGATTTGGTGAAGTATTTGCCTCCTGACACCAGTGATGACGAACGCGGCGTGGTAACTGTTTGACCGTTGACCCGGTGCATTTGGGGGTCCCCAGGTTTATACTACTCTCACAGTCAGCCCGACATCATCGGCCATATATCCAAAGCAGGAGTCTCTTACCAAGTCCCCACGAACCCAGGTGTTCTCAATGCTGCCACTCACGATAGTATTGCCATCCACAGTCACTGTAGCGCCATTATTCTGGACGTTTTCTAGAATAACCGAATTCCCAGCGCCCTCCGACTTGCCAGCAATGACGAAATGATCCAGCCCCGAGGCGCTGGAGTCGACCACGGTCAGAGATCCGGACGTGCCAACCGCGTCAATACCGGTACGGCCGTTGTAGAATTGGCAGCCTAAGAAGATGATATCCGTTCCACCTGCAATTACGCCAGTTTTTGTGCCGCTGAAGACGATATTCTTGAATACCCATTGTTGTCCGTTGAGCTTCATACCGACATCTCCACCATTGAACCGTAAGTCATTCTTATTTATTTGTCAGTGTTTGGTTCTCCATACAATGAATACAGGCTTAGGCTTCACTTACCACGATGATATTACTGTTGTAATCGTACTGGGTGGACAATCCGATGTGGGATGTGGGATTTGGTGGCATATTGAACTGGACGTTGGCCAGCTGGGTCGCTTGGCTGACGGTCCAGTCAAGGAGCGTAAGAGTCGTGCCCGGGTCAATGCCAGTCGAGTCAAGCACAATGTTCTTGATGCCAATATAAAAGTTGATGGTCCCGCCATAGTTGGGGTCCTTCGCGTATACCATATGGTCACTGGAGAACCCAGGTGCTGCTTTCAACACAGGGGGGTTTGTTGGGTCTCCCATCAGGACCGTTCCGACGTACAGCTGGAGCGCGTTCTTTAGTAGATAAGTGCCTCCGGGCAGGTAGATAATCGCAGGTTGACCGGTTGTCCCCATTTTATGGGCGTCTCTCGCCGGGCCTCCAGAAGGACCGCCTAATGACCCACGTCGTCAGTTTATTTTGGATTTATCTGCGCATGTTTTCTTTTTCCGCCTTTACCTTTGATCGCATTCTGGATAGCTTCCGAAGCATCGGATTGGCCAGTATTGTCGGCATGGTAATCGGCGACGACATTGCGGAATACCTTGTAGCTTTTCTTGTGTTCCGGCGCGAGGAAGGACGACTCGCCGTTGTGCTCGATTTCCTCATACCAGAATTTTGAGGAACCCGAGGACGCGCAGCTGAGCGGCTCCCGGTTTGGCGAGTGAGTCACGTTAAGCAACTCTTCCCATGGCCGTAGAGTAGTGTCCTGGATGTCAAAGGGGATGCCTCTTCTTCTGGAGTTAGTTACCAGATCATTGCTCATCCAACGCGTAAAGATGCGAGTACTTACAACATATTCGCAGGAGTATACGCTTCTTTAAGCAACGCATCAAGGCCAGGGATTAACCTGAACTTGTCTTCCTGGGCAATAACGCGGGCATTGAAGCAGAGCAGCAGCCCCAGCACCTGAAATAGAGGAGAGAATGTCATACTTGCAGTAGGGCAACAGTTCTCTATTCGATATCAAGCACAAGAGCCGACAACAACGACCAATTCGGGGCGGAAACTAGCTGCCTGGGACCCCGAAATGGTCAGAATATCGAGACAGAGAGAAAGGACGCGTCAAATCAATGGCCCTGTCCCTTTCTTTCTTTATTTATAAAGCCTAGCCAAGTCTACAAGATTCCTGCATGCCTCAGATGGGGCCAGAATAACAAATTTGAGTTGAGATATCCCTCGCGACGGGCCCATCATGAAGAATCCAGCTGGTAATATCTGTTGCTGGTATCAATTTACAAACAAGGGAGGACAGCTCGTGATGAATTGATGATGTACTCTCTGAATATCGATAGCCTTGGCCTTTATCAGCTTGCAGTCTGTAGCAGGCCGAAGCTCCAGTACGCTACCTCGGATATTCCCATATGCAAGGGCACACGGGCAATTGTGCTAGGGGCAGGCAAATTGCTCCAGATGCTCATATTCATTGAGGTGTTCAGAAGCAGCGCTAACTTATTCCCAGGCTATGCGTTCGTGAAGCCCCAATTACTATGAAAAAAGAGGGTGGTTTCCGGCTTGGCTTTGCAACGAACGGTGGTGGAGCTGTGAATGGTGGTGAAAGAATGGGTTGCGCACCAGCATTCCAGCGGAGTCAAAACAAGCAGCGCAATTTCCTCCCCGAATTCTCTCTTCGAGCCGCGGCTGGTCTCTATTTTCTTTTCTGGATATTCCATCTTTGCTCCACTTTCCGGGCCCAAGACATTCCAAGTTCAGTGATATTTCGCGTCCTGACCAATGCCGCGCGGTTTCTGTTTCACCCTCGCTCAGAGTCAAACCCTATATAGCTAGGGATCGATTGAAAAATGCGGCACTCTTGGGAGTTAGCAGCCTGCGATGAACTCTCTCTTGCTGGCCACTGGTCGACATTTCGCTTCTCGGGGACTAGCTGATTGCGCTGGTCGCCGCTGACTCCTAAGCATGTTTTTTTGGGACTTATCCTGGAGAACTGCCAGAAGGCACACATTCTAATGTAAGTTGGGATCATCTTCGCGAAATTTGGTCCATTGTAAACTGTAGTCGATTCATCTTATCCACCTTTACCCATCAGGATCGGCGTCCAGTCTGTATACAAGCCGAACGGCGAGGGCCCATTGGATGAAAAAAGTTGCGAGAAAAGCAGGACATCATTGAAAATGGAACTATTGCTCACGCAGCTTTTCCTTTCCCGATCTCATTTATATAGTGTAGTACTGGCGATAAATCCTTTCGATATCGTGTATATGACGAGAAGAATCGTCGGCGCAGACGAACACACGGTACAAAACTTACATTTTAACAGTCAACAGCTTAAATATAATTCGACTAGGATACACATCTTGGCTGTGCAACCTAGTATATTTCTCTGAAGGGGTCGCGAAACGCTTGGGGGTGATTTTGGACCGTACGATCCATAATGTCCCAAACTATAACACTCGGATGTGATTGTAGCATATCCTGGCTGGTCTGGTAGGTACTATTCGGGAATACTGTTCACCATAGCCTGACAATTTCAATAATTCACCTTGGCTATAAACGTAAGCCCCTTCATCAGAATCAAATCAGGGAATCTTGATTCCGTTCCTTGGTTTCAATTGATTGTCGCAATAGCAGGAGGCAGCCATGCCTCCGCATTATATTGTACACTGCATTTTGCATGTTTGCTGTATCTGGAATATGCACTCCGGAGCAACTCCGTATGGGTACCTTAAAAGAGCATCATCTCGGCTATGCTGAGAACACGGCCTGCATCGACTGTACTCCTGGTATCGCTTAGGGTTTATCCAAGCTGTGAGGGTAGTCCCCAAGCGAAAGGGACCGATTTATACTTCATTCTGGCCAGACCTAAACGACTGGTCGACCCCACAGTCGTATCCTGCCAACGGAGGTGGAGCCTCTTGGAGCACGGGCTCGAAGTCTGTGGACAAATTGAAAATTGGAGTTGACCGGTTGACTTTGTGTTCCACCATTCTAAAACAAGCGGGCCTAAGACTTGCGCGGAAAGAAGTTTAAAACAAGTGTATCAAGTCTCAATGTCACGCTGATTTGTCTCAAGAATGGCCCCAAGAGAAAATTGGCAACTCCCGTCGTGGGGACGCCTCGCGTCATCAATTTCGCAAGAGCGCCCGATCGGACAGCCGATCTTTCTCGTGTCTGTCTTGGGCTCAAACGCATCTGGCCCTCTGCGGGAAAAGCAATTAGAACTCGGCACGATATTAAGGGGTGCCTTTTTTACTGTGTTACCGGCTGGGAATTAGATGACTGGCTGGATCGTGGATGCAGCACGGTCCTGCCTCGCCATGTTCCATTTCAAGTTCCATGGCATCTCGCAGTGAGACCGACTCCAATTGACGGAGACAGTCCTAAGGAGTGGGACTCGACCGCAAGGTCACTTCTCCTGGACAGCGAATCACGATGAGACGTTTAAGTGCAAAGTCCCTTTAGCTATCTCAGGTATCGCTTGTTCTAACCCGGCTGGGCTCAGCCCCCATGGAACCCTGGAATCGAGTCGAGAAGGCATCGAGGGTCTTTGGGGGGAGAGACAAGTCGTGGGAATCGTAGAGAGCAAGAACGGCCGTTCGATAAGGTAGAAGTGCAGAATGCCTACCTCGTAGAGATATGACAATGCAGATTGCAGAGCAGAGCAATGTGGGGGCGGGAGGTGATTAAGTCATCAGCAATTCCCCGTCCTCGAGTCCTTCGCCTCTCCAGCTCCGTCTTTCAATCAGTCAAGTCGCCAGTCATGGCTGTGCCTTGTCATTCCATCCTTTAACTTAGTCGCTAGCCACATACTGCCTGCATTAGTATTATTCTTTCGCTCTTTTCAACCTTTTCTCTTCTCTTCTCTTGTCTGGACAAGAGCTATTATCAGCCTCCCCGCTACGACTATCCTCCCCTCCGACCACGGTCTCTTCCTGACACCCTCGTCTCCTGTCACCCCCTCAGTTTCCTTCCCGGAGAAGCGCTGCTGCAGGCTAATGTCACGCTCAATGTTGTAACTCCGGAGGTCGCGTTTAATTATCCCGTCTACGTGTGCCGCTGGATTCAGGGTCCCTTTTCTGACCTGACATTCGTTCTCTTCTCTTTATCTGACAGCCAAGCAGCTTTCGCGGCTGTTTCGCGCTCCTCACAATGTCACTCAAACCCGCGACCCCGTTAACCATACTTCTTCTGGTCGCCTTTGTCCTTCTTCTTCTCTCCGTGATATCGACGCCTATCGTCAAGAATATTCCACTGGCAACATTTGACAATGTTGAATATGGTGTCTTTGGCTACTGCAAATCAGGCAAATGCACCGCGATCCATGTTGGATATACCACAGGTTTGTTGCGCCTATTGAAACCCACGTTCGGTTTGCTGGTCGCTAATATTGTCGCAAGAGGAAATTAAGAACACTGGGAGCACCGATGGCGACTTCAATCTCCCTTCGGATGCTCGAAAATCCCTTTCCTCCATCCTTATCGTGCATCCGATCGCTGCCTTTCTCACTCTGATATGCCTTTGCCTCGCTGCTGCTGCTCATTTCCATGCCCCGTCGCATTCTCCCCGCTATCTTCTCGCCTTGTTAATTTTACTCCTCCCGACTCTTCTTGTTTCGCTGCTTGCCTTCCTGGTCGATATACTGCTATTTGTGCCGCATTTGTCATGGGGCGGTTGGATCGTTCTCGCCGCAACAATCATCTTGGTCACATGTGGTGTCGTTACCTGCGCAATGCGCCGAACTCTGGTTAGTCGCAAGGCTCGCAAAAGGCGCATCGCGGAGAATGCCGAAATGAGTGGACAAAACTACTACAATCGCCAAAATGCAGCAGCAGCCGCTCTAAATGACCCCAAGCCGATGGTACCGGAAGCAAAAGAGACTTTCGTCACTGCGGCCCAGAGTCCAGATTCCTCTGGCCCTACGTTTGCCACCTTCCGCACCAACACCCGGGAAAGTGACGATGATCGTACGCCTTTGAACAATGAAAACGACCGCATTGTTCAGGACAGCACGTACCCAGTGCGTTATAATACCCCTCGAAATGACTTTGGCAATCCTTTACCGCCAGCGGCATACAATTCGGCGTCTAGAACGCGTACACCTGGCCCTCCAGACTCTAGAATGCGCGATCCATATTCGGATTCTCGAAGAGTTCCGCCTCCAGGCTTTGCCTCCCGTGGCCGTGGTGGGTATCCACCCCGCGGAGGCTATGGACGTGGCGGACCTTATGGAGGCCCTTACGGGCCTAATTCCCGTGGCCCTCCTCCTGGAAGAGGTGGTCCTATAGGCCGCGGAGGTCCTCCAGTACCGATGGGACGTGGAGGGTACCGACCACCACCCCCAGCAGGCGGATATGGTCCGGGTGCACACCCAATAGTTGAAGATGAATACAGCTATCGCGGACCATCGCCTCGCCAACTATCCCCAGGCCCACCCGGCCAGGCCATTGAGATGATGCCCCAGCCGCGGCGTGAATCCGGCCCTCTGGAGGACATGCCTGGTCCCAATCATGTACATGCTATTTCGACCGACAATCAAGAGGAACCTATCAGCCCCTCAGTTTACAGCCGGACAGCGTAAGCCCCCGTTAGTTCAATATCATGCCTAGGGTCTACTAATTACGTTCGATATAGGTCGTACGTTCCGCCTCGAACAAACTGGACACCGCACGCGTACCAAGCCGAGCCAACTCTACCATTCCAACCCAACCCGCCGGTTCAGCCACGCCATATCCGTTCCAATTCAGGTAGTTTGTATTACGAAGATGAAGACCCCGTGTATACGAGTCAAAACGAGTCGGCAGTTGGCAACCCACGGTTGCCTTCTGCGTTGACACCAGGCAATACTGGTGAGCAAAAGTCGAAGGAAAATGAGGTGGAACGTCCCAGCTCACCTGCTGCTAGCGAAGTAAGCCATTTCACATCAATCTCCGAGCGGCCAATCAACCCAAAGTGGCGACCGCCGCCTATGCCGGCGCAAGCTGTCCAGCAGAAACGCGACGTCTTGCTCGAGAACAACCCCGATTTTGATCTCCGAGCCGGCATGGGAGCAGGCGGCCGCATGCCACCACTACCGAGCGCAAACAATTCGAGATACCCAATTCCTTGAATAACTCGGTTTTTTTTTTTTTTTTTTTTTTTTTTTTTCTTATTTCCCTGTGTTTATAATTGGAAATTGGCGTCTGGTGTTATAAGGGATGGCAGGCCGCCCACGGACTATTCATCTCCCCGTTTTTGTACATTTACTTGGCGTCACATTCCATCTTAGTTTCGTCCTGGAAGGCTAGGGTATCGATGGAATAGATCAATTACGTTCTTTGGTGGCTTCCTGGTGGATTATACAAACCTGTTTCAGCACCTACAACATAGGTAGATAGCAGCATGGCTATAGCTAATTCAGCCTTTGAAGCCGATTCACATTCACGAAGCAGTCCATCACTTAAACTTGTTTCGAAGACCGATATGTCTTAGTCGCTCACAAGCCTCCGTAGAGCCATTAAGTGTCACTTCTTGCTAAATAGGTAGAATTAACCTCCCTCACTAAGCTGCCCGTTGTGGTATCAAACTGCTAAAACTAATCAACGTTGAGAAGCCGATAACCATCCCGAAACCTATACACGCCGAAAACAGAAAATCACCCATCAATCATTGAACCCATGGTATAATAGAAAAATGCGTAACGCTAATAAGAAAAAAAAACAAAAGTTTAGAATTTCGTGGGCAGGAATCCCTTCGAATCATCCTCCTGCTGGCTAAACGACTGTGGGAACGCTGCAATGCCAGCAACGATTGCGATAGCAATGAAAATGAGAGAAACCAGCGACCAGAGGAGACCCCAGCAGCGCGAGGAGCCGCCGTAGCGCTGGGCGAAGACACTTGCGTCTGAGGAGTTCACTTTTCGGAGGATTAGGTCGTCGCACTGTATACCGAGCAATTCAGTTAGCCTAGTCCCGTGGTATGTTCAGTAGTAGAGGGAAAGGACTCACGATATCCCAGACACTGTAAAGCGCCGACATGACACCGATAAAGAGCTGCGCAGCAAAACCAATTAGCATCTATCAACATCGACATCCTCTCGCACTCTCCCTCATATATGAGTGAGGCAAACTCACAACAACCCATCGAAGCGCCTGCCCATGCGCAATGAACCAGCAAGCAACCAACAGCCCGACAGCCAACAGCACCGTGATGATGGTCAGCCAATCCCTACGCGCCCACCAAAGTGTCAACAGAAAGCACACGCCGAGAATGATACTCGCGACTTTACTCGCGGTGATGTTGAACCCGGCGAAGATCAGCAGCGCCCCGATAATCGACGACCCCAGGTACCCCGCCGGCAGGGTGATTGCGGTCATGCCGCCCTGCATGTGGGTGACGCCGCCCTCGTGGGGGTCGAGAGAGATGGATTTCACGCGCCCGCCTGTGCAGCAGGCTGTTATCGCATGGCCGAATTCGTGGAAGGCGATCACGAGCATCTGTGGAGAGCGGGGGGCGGGGTTAGTACATTTGGGGGGAAAAGGGGCAGTATAGGGGCAAAGTTGCATAGCTGTATAGCGCACCTTGAAGGGCCATAGAGAGTATCGCAGAAACGGCAGATTCCAGAGAATAGCAATCACAACGACATAGGCGGCCATAACACCGAGGGTAACGGCCTGGGTGTGATTGACGGTGAGGTCGCGCTTGTAGAGGTGGGATTCAGTCGCCTCAACAGCGCGTTGAGTGAGGAATTCATGATACGGTGCCATTGCTATAGCTTAGCTTATCCTCTTTTTATTTGGTGATTTTCTTGTTAACGAGCGTGTTTGAAGATGCTCAGGAACATTTGATGGATTTATTGCAGATAAATTGGCGCCTGATCTCGGTTTTAGTCTACGCGTCTGATGATGATTCTTTCCCCAGGAGGGATTAGCGTGTGGCTGGACATAACGGCCTTGCGAGTTATTTTTGGAATAGCGCGTGTGGCTGGGGCGGGTCGTCCTCTTTGTCCAATGAAAGAACGGGAAGAATCTACACAGGGCTGAAGGCGAATGCGTGTCTACTCCGTACTGTCGAGGACGTAAGTTACTTGTATTTGGTTGAGCATTCTTCGCGCCGTCCAACGCGCATTCAAGCCAACCGACTATTTGCTCTTCTGCCGCCTCTCAAAGAACTCAGATAACATTCGCTGCCCCTCTCCGTCGCTCTCAAACGACTCCGCAAAAGCAGGAATCCCAGCTTCAATGGCACTGTCTAGACCAAGTTGTTCCCACTGCCGAATAAGCTTCTTCTGCTGGCGAACGGCACCTGGCCCACTCCTGTCCAGAAGCTGAATCCACTCGTCCACCGCGTGGTCGAGATTTTCTGGCTCGACGACCTTCTCCACGAGACCCCACTGAAGCGCCGCGGCGGCGGAGATGTTTTCACCGAGCATCAATAGTCGGCGTGTTCGTCCCCATCCGATTAATCCAGGCAGGAGGGCCGCTTCCACAACGCTGGGAATTCCAACGTTGACCTAGATATCTCAGCTTTGCTCTTCTGAGACTAAAGACGTGGAGAGGGTGAACATTTAGGTAAACGTACCTCAGGCATACCAAACACTGCGTTTCGGCTGGCGACGCGGAAATCGCAGCTCGCGGCAATCTCCAGACCTGCACCCAACGCATATCCATTTATACGTCCTATTACTGGCACCGGGCAGTCTCGGATGCTCTTACATGCCGTGTGGACTTTCGTGATGAACTCCCGGGCGGTCGCTGGCGAAGCCAGGGTGGCCATTTCCCCAATGTCCGCACCACCAACAAACGACTTTGTGCCATGCCCCGTTAATATCACGGCGAGTAGATCGGGGTGGCTCTGGTGGATAGTGCGTATTTCATGGGAAAGAAGGTTTAGAAGATGCGAGTTCAGACTGTTCAGCTTGGATGGTCGAGAAATAGTCACCGTTGCAATAGGTCTGCTGCCGCTTGTTCGACGGATAGTGTTCGTGATGATAGTCCCTGCTGTCATGTTGGCGTGGACGACACTACACGCTTGAATGAGATGTACAAGATAGATAGATACCTCTCGCTGTCGTTCATGCTGGCCTTTGCTTGGAGAATGGTTACCCCGCAAAACTCTAATCTCAACCGAGGGTACAGTAGAGCCAGAATCTCCGATGTCCGCTTCCGCATACCGACATTACAGCTCAAGTGAATATAATATAGAGTATTTTGGCGGAGAGACAACAAATACGCCGTAGAGTTGCATTCGCTTCTATAGGCATTTGGGACAAGTTACCCACGAGCAACAAGGACGCTCAGGTCAAGGCTCCAGTCAGTCGAATATAGAGTGGCTATGTTTTATTTTCTCTGGGATTTCATTTTGGCAGGACAACTGTTGCCTTGGAGAGGAATGGAAACAATCTACCGGAGATATTCCGAAGTTTGAGAGCAAGGTGCCGGCATCTCTGGAATGGCCTGCAGGCCAACGTCAGTCACAAATCCTGCGTCTACTGCTTCATTGGGATAAAGAAGTGCTTGGCTTGAATTCTCGTCTGCTCACACGGAAACAGGGTGTGGTGGTCGCCTGGTCACTCTGGGGTGTTGTGACTCTTACCCGTGTCCGTGGAGAATCATCCTTGTTCGTGGCTTGGACATCTTCCACCTGAGGATCGGAACATCGTAAGAATCCCCCGTGACTCCAAACTTCCCCGCCAAAGCAGGCGTGGCAGGAAAGAAAGCCGGGATAGATATGAAGACCCTACCATTTCCTGGGTGTCTTATTGGTCGGGGCACTTTCCCACCGGTAAGGGGGTGATCAGCAATTACTTAGCAAAATTATGTCAATTCCTTATCAAGCTGACAAGCAACGTTTTGGATTTAGGATTTCCAAGGTGAAACGCCACTCCGCGCCGATATGGATCTCAATTCAGGAATAGGCTCTTGGTCCGCCGCACCGCTACCCATCGCGATTGGTTTCGTGGAGTGGGCTCAACATCCAAAAGGGTAAAAGCATTGCTTCTCGCTGATAAGCCCAGAAATGATGACGCGCAAACGTGAAGCTGCAAGAGCGAAGCGCCGAGGATTGCCCCAATGACACTGGTCGATGATCACTGACAAGAAAAGTCGGGGAGAACAATATCCCCCAAGATCGGGAAGATTCGGTGCAAGGATGCAACCAGTACGCACCAGCAAGCACGAACAAAACAAAGTTGCCTTGGTCAAGACGATAAGTCCGCTTGGTCTATTTGCAGCTCAACACCGCAATCGGCTTGGATTCCACTCAGATTCACGACGATGAAGCCCGCCAAGCTTGTTCGCGCCCAATGGTGGATTCAGAGTATGAGGAATCGCGTCGGCCTCGACTCGCTAATACGACAATTGTCAGCCACCGAGAATGGCTTGAACATTCTCCATACCGGAAAACGCAATGACAGGGTCATCAGGCATGAGAGCAGCATGGAACGTGATAATCCCGGACTGCACATCTCATACCGAACAGTGTTTCCTTCCTTGGCGCAGTTTGATACTCGTTGGGAGCCAGAGCATTGCTTGGCACCGACATGTTGTCGCCAAAATCAAATCACACTCAAATTTCCTCTTTTTTTTTTTTTTTGTTTACGGTGTCGATTGTATGGAAGCTGGAATCCGGGGCCCTGAAGCCTAGAAATAGACCCGTCGATCATAGATAAAGATAACGGGCCATTAAAGGGTTAAGTCCGGATAGCCAGAGAAGCCTATCCAATGGCGAATCTCCCGATGGCCGAGCTGACCCCTCCTACCCCTGAATTCCGCCTCGCTGGAATTTGCGTCTTGTGGTCTTGTTGCCCAAGGGATGTGCCAAGCCACATTCGATTTCATGGCCGACCAAACTTGGTTCAGCTCGTCAGCGCAAAGCTAGACGTCGACGCGGCTGGCTAGCCGAATAGGGCACATGGCAATTGAGGCTGTGTCTGACGAAAGTTGACAAGAGTCTCGGCAGAGAACCATAGTTTAGGAATCATAGATCCGGCATCTTGCCAAGCACTCCGGGAGCCACTAGGCTTGTCTCGCAAGTGGGCGACTTGAATTGAGGTTCCCGCTGGTGAGGAGACTAGTGGATGCGCCGGTTCTCGAGCTGACGATCCTCTTGGCAGCTTATACCAGAGGAGGCCAGAAGGGGTGGCAGGATCCTCAATCACGGAATCGCAGGAAAAAACAACGAGAAAAAAGCGAGAGAAGAGGTGATAGCTGGTGTCATATGGTTGGGTGCCGAGTGCAGATGATAAGAAAGGTCGGATGAGTGTTAAAGTTGCTGGCGGCTGAGGCTGGCGTCGGGCTCTCTGTTTCACCGGGACGCCTTGGAGTAACCTCACTTCCTCACTTCCGTCCTCAGCTCCTTTCTCTTGGTCTTGCAGAACTTCGCCTCTTCTCCAGATGCTCAGGACCGGGATCGTCCCTCGCTCCCGTCACCATGAGGTCCCCATCATTCGCGCCAAGCGCTCCACCATCGCGGAGGAACAACTTCGAATCGCCGAACGGCCTGTTTTTGGACAGAGAATATAACGCTGCCTACATCACCACTACCTAGTTTAGACGTCTCTGCCTTGGCATTCTCCACCGATCGACCTCAAGATAACGAGTAATTTGAATGGCGAATGACTGTTGGATTTACCTTTATCACGGTTGGGCTCGGGGTTAACCACCCCGCTGTCTGTCTCTGTTGTAACTCAATAAACGGAAATAGGCCAGAGCGTGATGCCTATGAACAATGTGCCAAGGTAGATGCCAAGAGAACCTCCGTGAGATACGGAAATCCAGATGTACCCAAGCGTCGGGGAGCCTCGAAAGGCGCCAGCCAGTGGACGGGGAAGGTTATCCAGTCTGGCGTCACCGTTCAACCAGCTGCCTGAATGTAAGGCAATGCGGTCTCGACTCACACGGCCACTTTGAAACACAACTGTGTAACATCAAGCACGAGGTACTGTACGAATATATCCGGGTATGCTCCGGATACCTGTCAGATCGGCGAGGATGCATCTGGTTGTTTTGTCTGAACCCGAGTTGGACTAACGAGATTTAAGAATATGCTCTTGGCGTCGTTTCTCCTGCCTTCTATGTGGGATCCCAGTCAGACATGGACCCATACGAAGGGGGTTGAAATTGTCTTGAACCGAGCCAGGTGAGGACACGATCATCTTATATTGAGTGCCGCTTGCGCCCCAACAGCCTGGATCTTTCACCTATTCTGTCATATCCCAATATAGTTCTCTCAGATCCACAAGCCTTGTGGTTTGCTTGTTAAAACAATCTTATCTGTACCTTTTCCAACCTTACAAATCAGCCTTAAGAGTTCACTGAGGGCAATATCATAGCCCTTTCTCCCCCCTCTGCCACACACAACATGCAACGTCCTCCCAGATCCTCGATGGAGATCGAGCCCGCTACAACAGCCCCCGATCCCAACAACAACCGCCTCACATACTGTGATACTACTGCAGGATCTCTACCACCACAATATGATTCCAAGGAGACTGGGGGGCTATGGTCCGTAGGGGGCAGTACGACTGTCTCCCTTGCGGGTAACCCAACTACACTCTCCGACGAGGAGCCTATTACATGGCAGTCAAGCCTTTCTAGACATATGAGGTGCAACATCGACCCCCACTACACCGATATCTTCCTCATTATGTGTGGCTTCGTTAGTGGTCTTGTGGACGGGCTGTCCTTCAATGCATGGGGCAGTTTCAGCAGTATGCAAACAGGTAAGTCAGCAAATCCTGGTCGATATCAGCCTACAACAATGTTCTCTAACCCCACCTAGGGAATACTGTATTTATAGCCCTAGGCGTATCCGGACAACCAGCTTATCCTGCCTACCTCTGGGCCAAATCCCTAATCGCTGTTACCGTTTTCATCATGGCAAATATCCTCTTTATCCAGGTAGGCCGCGCTCTGGGTTCCCGCCGTCGATCAACCTTGATACTATCCTTCGCGGTGCAGACTGCTGCCATCCTTGCGGCTGCTCTTCTGGTCCAGCTTGATGTTGTAGACCCGAAGCCGGAAGACCCTCGAGCTCCAATTCAGTGGATGCAGGTCCTCCCAATATCCCTGTTAGCCTTTCAAGCTGGAGGCCAGATCGTTGCGTCCAGGGTTTTGGAATTTGACGAGCTTCCAACCGTCGTGCTTACTACCTTGCTCTGCGACTTGCTCGTGGACCCAAATCTGGGGGCTGCTCTAAAAGCTAACCCTAAACGCAACCGACGGGTTGGGGGGTTTCTTGCTCTCTTTATCGGTGCAATGACAGCAGGAGGACTCTCAAAGGTGACTAAGATGGCGGCAAGCCTCTGGTTCGCTATGGGAATTAAACTAATAATTACCGTCAGCTTCTTTATGTGGAAAGGAGAGCGTACCAAGAAGGTCATCAACGGAATCGGGTCTGTATGATGTCTCCTTTGCTCTGCTTTACCTTTACTTTATTTCACTGCACATGTTCTTCGTCTATTATTCCTTTTCTCATTACTGTGCGCTTCTGTTTCCCTTATTCTCCAGTTCCCGCTATGTTCTCCACGCGGGCTCATGTTCTTGTTTAGCTTACGACTTAATGATCGATAGAATATACCAGCAGGGTCACGGGCCAGTTGGTGGTCATTTGGAATAGTTGCGGCGTTAATGGTTCTCTTTTCAATAAATCAATTATTTTTTTTAAGTACTCTTGGTCATTTGTAATTATTCGCTCGTATGGAGTAGCTTGATCCCTTAACATCAGCACTAGCAGTATACATTGGGTGGTAGTCAATATTGGACCTGTGCTTCATACGAAGAGGCACTCGGAAGCCTCGCCCTCCCTAATGAGCGCACCTAGCCCTAATAACTATTTGATATCCCGGCACTCTCGTGTCCCTCCGACCATCAATTGGCAATCGGCAATAGAAATGTATCTATTCTATCTCGTTCCATGATTATTATTCCAGTGATTGTTACACCATTAATATATATAAACAACTCTCTATCACGTATTTGTAAGGTATGCCTGTGAAGTGGGGCATTCAAAATTGATTTCAATCTATAATGCTACCACAGGTATGCACCAGGGATGAATTAAACAAAGGAAAAGTTGGATACACTGCTTAGAGAAAGTAAATCCACATCCAGATCTAGCTGCGCCAATTGCAACACAAGCAAAAAAAGAAGAGAGATAATGAAAGAGCATCAGCCAATCCTAAACGGATATGCGTCATTCGTTGAAGGGCGGAGACGAAATGGGGCCCGATAGTAATACATTATTAAAACAAGTAGTATGTGCGTTCGTCTATCCAGATATCAACACCCAGAGAAGAAAGAAAATCTACAAGTGACTCGTTAGCATCACACAGTTTACACGCACAGATAGGGGAAGGAACCGCTTACCATTAGAACTCCAAACATCTTCGCAATTAGCCACCGGTTCCCAGAGACCCGTGTCCAGTATTTCATGAGTTCGCGCTGTGCGCCTTGAACGTTATCCACCACATCTTCTGTGTTGGCATCTATCCGTTGAATCATTTCGGATTGTTCGCTGACCATTTGTGCAAGCTGACCAAAGATGCCGCCTAACTCATTGATCGTCCTCTCAATCGCGTCAATCGCCTCACCACGGGATTGGATATACGAGTTACTCGACTCCGCCTCTTCCATCATCAAAAGTTGCTGATCGGACTGCATGGATGGGCGGCCTAGAGGGGACGGATTCGACGGTTCTAAAGTCAAAAGATCCGACGCGCCGCCGGGTTGTGGTGTTCTTCGTCCGGACGGATAGAGAGGAGAATCTGACCGCTGGGTGTCCAGGGCAGCTTGTGACTTGGACGAAACAGATGAGACAAAATTTTCTGTCCTTGAACGAGAAGCTTGGATGTTCTTGGTGCGGACCTCGAGGACGTCCTTGAAATTGGCACCCACATCTGCCAGTTTGCCTTGTAGCATAACCACAACCTAACAAAATGTTAGCAAATGCTGATCTACATCAGGACCAAGCTTCGCGTACATTATCATTATGCTCCCCCTCTTGATCCGTTTTTGATCGGTTGGATTTTGGATGTTGCGAAAGTGTAAGTGCTTGTAGCGAGGCAATATGCTGGTTCAGCGACGCAAGATCCTGCTTGATGACATACGTCAACTCGGAGATCTCGACGGGCCTGTCATCGAAAAGCGTCTTTCGTTTCGCAACTGGCACCATATTAGATTCTGCGTTTAATAATTTCCTGCCTCAACTTAGATACTCACGCTCTGCTAATCTTCGGAGCTTCGCCGTTGTCGCCGTGATTCCCCGCCCAATCTCCGCCGCGCGTCGAGCGAACTCCGACCTGGTCCTCTTGCCATTTTCTGCACTATCCAAAGAGCCATTCGCCTGTCGTCGCTGGGAGTCTGATAATAACGCTTGGCGCTGAGATCCAACTTTCGAGGACGCTGCACGTTTCTGGGCTTGTCCAAGGATGGCCTGGAATTCACCAGTGCGATCTTGTATCGATGGGCCGGTCATATCGCAGTTCGTAGGGAGCAGAGTCAAACAACAGAATATCTGATTCCTTTAACAGCTCGGCGGTCGGTGCGCAATTATCAAGTGTCGGTAGACTGCGATGGGAGGGTTGGGAAAAGGGTGACCTAATCGATAAGGAGACAACAATAGGGGACGTATATGTCCGCTGGAGTATTAGCGACTTCGAGGTGGTGCAAACGAAGGAATGAAAATCGATAGACAAGAAAAGCTTAAAAGGTGAGCAAAGATTCCATAATAAATGAATCAGGCAAGGTTGTGAGCATCGGCAGCGATGAGACAGTCTACTTGTCCCGTCGCAGACTCGCCGCAGTCGTCCTTCCCGATCGGACAGTGGCAATCACGTGGATTAAACTTCCGAAAATGGAAAAGCGTAAAGATTAACCACATGAAAGCACAGCCACCCGTACGGCCAGCCACAGGCCCGCCACCAAGGATAAACGGCCCCAGGCGCTCAGGCAGTGACAATATGCCCGCCTTACGCCTCAGGGGGATGCAATCATTATCTACCGGCAGTGCCTGACGACAACGTCAGCTTAGCTTGGACACTTTTACTTCTTCCCGACCCCCTCAGACGCTGTTCTTTTCTTTTTCAATCTACTTCTGCGCCTAATCAGCCCGTCCCTCCCCAGCATCCTCACTAAAATACTTGCCTGACACTTTGACCCTTCTTACACCTTCTCCTTCACGTCATAGCCGCCCGAAACCTGTCGCCGTTGCCTTAGCGAGTTCTGCTTTCTATTTTGTGACACAGCACACGACTGGCGTCAAGTTTACAATTGCTGCGCTTGGGCATGCCAATCGCCAGCCTACACCGATCTAATTGTGAAAGTTGATGAGCTGTTGAAAAACAGCCACCTAAAACCATGTCAGGCCCATTTCAGCGCCCGTAAGTTGCGGCACCTCGCCAGTATTGCATTGCATGATATTAATTGACACACTTTTTCTCCTAGTCCTTTGCACACGTCCAACTCTAGCACTAGCAGTCCACTATCTCCCCATGCAGGCAGCGATACTCCTGTATCTTTCAGAACGAATGTGAACCGTGCGAAAACGAAACGTTGGGTCGAGGCGAAGAAGTACACCTACGACGGCGATGACTGGGGCGAAGATGAGTATGGGGAATATGAATACGATGACGAGCCGCCAGTCCCACAGGTTCCGCAGCCTGGTGCGAATCGAAGCAATCCGGATATCTCGAGCACCTCAAAAGGATCTTCACATCCGCCTCTGCCTAATATGGAGAACGCTCAAACAGAGTCAACGGGGAATCCGGCGTCGTCCAACAGCCCTGAAACACCAATTGTCCGTCCAGCGGAGATCTATAAGCGGATGCATGAAGAACAGAAAGCCACGTCTGCGATGTCGCCTCCTACGAATAGTGTAGGTGCCGGGTTTTCCGAAACCACTGCTCCCCTTCCCGTTCAAGCAGACGCGGAGGGTGCCAATACTTCAGGTATTCAACCGGCAACAGCAAACGAGCCTCCGACCCTCTCTCTGCCGGATGTGAAACGCTTGTCAGGTTTTGGTTCTAGTATTCTTACGGATTCTGATTCAACACCTCAAAGCAATCAAGATAAGCCAGACCAACAACACCAACTCCAACACAATCCTTCTCTCGGATTCCGCTCAGCTGTCAACCAAGCATTCGATGTTCCCGACACCCCAAGTACAATTGCTGATAGTGTAGCTCGCTCGAATAGTGATAGCACTACGGGAATCAGTCCTATTATCGCCCGAAACAATAATACCGATGATAAAACCCCAACTATTCACGAAGAGCCCAATGAAAATGCAGAGACACCGACCGAAGCCGGCATTGTCTTTAAGCCAGGGCACCGCCGGGACTTGAGCATTCCCAGCCCTGGTAATAGTCCGTCTCGCAGACCACAACTTGCTGGCCCTGGGACTAGTGTTTCTTCTGAATTGGCTCAGCTTTCTGCTGCGACACCCGCAGAGCCCCCTCTGGATCATCCGCAATCCTCTCAGCAGGAACATCATCGAGACACGGCCCTGCCCTCTCGAGAAACACCAATGCAGGACCTACCACCACCTCTTAATGTTCAAACCAATATGGCGCCTGGGCCAGGAGTATCCTCGGAGAACATTCCTGTGATCATCCCATCCATGAGCTCGGACAATTCTCCCGAAGACACGGAGAATGACCGGCTGAGGAAGGAAATTATTCGTTCCTTGAGCAGAGAGAACACTCCATCTGATCACCAGGACAATGATACACCTCCTCAGACGAGTGGACAGGACACCCTCTTTCCACATAAGGGTGGGCTATCAGCCGCAGTCCCGCAGGCTGAACCCGCTAGTTCCATGTCCAACGCTATTCCAGAAACTTCAGGACCTTCAATTGAGCAACCAGCTCCTCTCTTAGCACAGAATACACAACCCAAACTTAAAAAGCGGTTTTCTTGGGAAGAATCGTCCGACGAGGAAGATCCTACTCATCTTGTCACACAACCGCAACCCGCTCGACCAATGCCGGGTCAGTTCCCATTGTCTCAAGAAAACGTTCACCCGGAGTCTGAGGCAACGCCAACAAACGAAGTGCCCAAGACGCTGGAGGAAGGAAGCAGAGACGAACCTGAAAACGCCGGGCTTACGACCTTGCCGCCCTTGGCGATAGACACTACCGACATTTCGTCAAGTGCTCCTGGTCATGAGCCTACTCTCTCGGAGACACTAGTGCGGGCAGAAGAGGAAGAATCCTACAGCCCCAAGCATCAAGCTTTGGAGCCTTCAGCACCAAACCCCTCTGCATCAATCGAATCAGGCTTACTTGGGTTTAAAGATATCCTCGGTAAACAGTCGCCCTATGAACGGATCCAGGCGTTTGACCGGACTCGAGACCAGTTCGCAGCTATTGATACTGGCTTAAGCAATTGGGTTCAGGTTACCCTCTACGCCCGTCCAGAGCATGCTGACGTCGTTGAGCGCAACTCGAAACCGCTATCCGACGAATTCAAAAACAGTTTACCACGCGCAAAATTCCCCAAGCTATCGTCCTTGGGAAACCTTGCGTCTTCGCTTCAGGATGGATCTCACTCAACATCGGGCCATATTAGGCGGCCCTCCGCGACCCTTGGCTCTGTGAGGCAAAATCAGGCAGGGAAGGATTTCCTGCACACTGCGGGAGTATTGGGTGGCCATGCCGGCAAAGCCGCTAAGGGCCTATTTTCAAAGAGCCGGAGTAAACTGAAGGGAGTGGGAGGATCCGAAAAGGTAGAGCCTTGATTTCGTTTTGGGGGTTCGTCTTGCACTGCATTGTTCTCTTTATCCCAATCCCACTTGCATCTTTCCGTTTCCTTAATTTGTCTTGCTTAATTAGTATGGAGGTCCATGGTTGTATATGTTTTAACTTGTCCTTCATCCTGTATATTTCCTTTTCATTCTGCTCCATGTCTTTGTTTTCTTGATACCAGGGCCTGTTGTAATTGAGAATATCTTGAAGTGTGATTGAGAATGTGACACGAGATAATGTTTGCGAACCACTCGTTGTATCTGCGCTTTCTCCCTTTGCTTTTGCCCCCAGTCCTTCTTGCTCGACTTGCCCTTTTCTTCACTTGTGTCACCTCTAATATCCTGGTGATTTGTGTTGTAGGGGTTCCAATCGTCGCGTGGATATCACAGGCCCGTACAGCTATCAGACCTCCAGCCTGACCCTGAACCAGGTTTAGACCTAGAAGACACCCAGGACCTGCTTGATCCTCCTGCGAGTAGACCATGGATGAGACTGACAAATCAGTTCGGCGACGCAGTGACAACACGGGGTGGGGAATATTCCTTTGTCCAACCCTCTCCACCCAGCGGGCAATTCGACAGGCACGGCGGGACCCAGCAGCGCCCAGCAGGCTCCAGCAATCCCTGTCCTTTTGAGGAACAAGGGGAGCCGCATGAGGACACTTCTCGTTCGGCCAATAATAACGAGCACACGGGCTGCGACGGTGTTGATCACTTGGGCGCTAAGCCACGAGACGACCTCCGAAGGAATGCGCAGAACGACGCAAAGGACGACGACGAAAGCATTAATGCGTTCCCTGAATCTCGCGAAGACCTACCAAGCCCCCGATTTCACGCTGTAATCCTCGATGATATTCCAGAGCAAGACAGCGCCCCGAGCCACGATTCAATGCTTCCTGCTCTGCACCAGCTGCCATCCATTTCGTCCTTGGGCGGGCAGGAATCAGATCTAGGCCCGCCGCCGCCCCTCGCACCGAAGCTTGGTGAGTCGACTCTCTCGTTCCTTTATGTAATTGTAGTAGTAGTCCGACTGGTGGCTGATTTTCTCCGCCAGCCCAGAATCAGCTTTCCTCTGAGATTTCACTGCCATCCGACGTGGGCGACTCCCAGCCGCGTCACTTTGGCGGAAGAACTTGGCGCCGTGGCCAGAGGAGAGCGTCCAGCCAAGGGAACAATAACCTTTTTGAAAGCCCTTTCGCTCCCCGTGAGGCTATTCAAACAGGCCCGGTCCGGCATAACGGTCGCCCGGCTTCCACCCCTGGACTGCTGCCGCCCCTTTCTCCCAAGCATGAGTGGCCACGCCGGCCAGAACAGATATCCTCGTCGCGGGACCCCGCATCTCCCAGAACCTCTTCCTCGCCCTTGGAGAAGCTGAAGAACGTTGGTCGACTTCACCGCGTCTCAATGGGTTCGAACCAGTCCGAATTTAAGGCCGGTCAATTGCAGAAAAAGTCTTTTAATAAATTGACTGTAGGTTCTCGTTCGCATGTACTGATTTTGTGGGTTCAACTTCTGATTCTTGCTCCAGGGCCTTTTCAGCCGCACTCAGCATAGAAAGTCAGCTCCCCCAGAGCCACTTGGATCCTCACCAGAAGGCAGCACCAGGAACTATCTCGCACCAGTGACCTCTCGACCAGACTCTAGAGTTGCTACCTCTTCGGTTTCTTCAGTGGATAATCATGAACGGCCCGTCTCTCTTCCAGATGCTCGCAATACCTTTCAAGGGCATCGCGCACCCATCGAGGGATACTTTGCCCACGAGTCACCGGAAACTTTCAACGTAGCAGAGCCGCACTCATGCCTTCGCGGTACCGCAAGCAGTGACCATATGAGACTAAGCGACCCTACACCCCTCGATCCTGGGCGACTCTCTCCCCATTCCCCTCCCTACCATTCACCTGGCAGTCCACATCGCCAGCCCCGCGCTTCTTCCCCACAATTCAGCCCTCCTATCCCTACCTCAGCTCCTCGCACGCCGCCATCTCGCGGCCGCTCCGAAGACCGCACCTACGCTCAAGATCTACACCTCCGCTCCCGGAGCCCCAAGGCCTTCGCGCCACGGCCCGAAGAGCGGAATCTGCCAAAGCACGACGCAACCGATCCGGCCTACAAGCTGGGCACCTTCCGAACATCCAACCCCCGTACCAGTCACGTCGGTGACCAAGAACTACCATGGAAGATCACCATTCCGGGCGATTCCGACGAGGGCACAACAAACTCATCATTCTCCTGGCGCCAGGAAACCGAAGGCGCTCTGAACGGGCCCCGATTACCAACCTACCAAGAAGATGAAGAAGAGCATGGGCCGTCTAGCCACCAACCTGTAGATGAAAAACAGGGCCCTCCATTCATCAACCTACCAACTGCTCCAGCGGCACCCGAACAGGGTCGACCATTAGAACAAATACATCCACACCGCGGCGGCGGCCGAGCACTAAACGCCTCCAATGCCCCTGTCGAACTGCCCGTCCGAGCGGACGATGATTCCAGCGAGGAAATAATGATGTCCAGTACTGCGTACCCGGGTCAGGAATGGCGGCCCCTCGGGTACTCTGAGTGGGAACAATAAACCCCTCGACAGAGATAGATTCGCTGTCGAATGGACCTAAAGATATGACATGCTATACGAGATATGCCCTACTCACGATCCGTGGACATGATGCAATACCCCAAATGTATGTAGGTGAATTTTTTTTCTAGGGTAAACGTATTTATCTTTCTTTTTTTGAGAATCAGCAAGCGAGTATGTATACTTGTCTTTTTTTTCCCCCTCTTTTGTTAGAACCCTCTAAGTTGTACCTTATCTACAGTTCCATACCAGAATAATAACAGATTGGATATACTACACGATTAACCGTGTGCAGACACGGTAAACCATTTCGAAATTTACAGTGCTCGACTCGATTGTCCCTGTTTTATACATTTTATCGTTGGTAGTATACAAAGTCTATAGGGGAGAAGACCAAGAGTATATACGTCAAGAGTAGATTATCCCTCAAAAACGCTGTGATTCAACTCCACTCCCATATCCTTAGCGACCGATTGCATTTGAGCTTCGAGATCATCTTCCATGCCACCACCCAGGTGCAGGAACTGGCGCACCTTTGTGAAGTAGAAGAAGAGATCGCTGGAGAAGAGCACAAAGCGGAAAAGCAGATGGCGGCCGTAGTTCCTAATTTTCTCGCTCAGCGGCAGGTCGGGCGATTCCACAAGTGCACGCGACGCCCACAGCCCCGTTATCTTTACACGGTTGACGGGGGATCCCAAGAACTGGTTGTTCCCTTGGACGATGCGGAGATTGCGGCCGATAAAGATTAGTTGGCGAGGCCATTTATTTTCATCACCGAGTATCTCGCGGACGGCTTTGCGACTGGCCTGTTGCATTTCATAGTGGAGTTGGGCTCGCTCAGATTTGCTGAGTTTCTCGATGCCCTGTTGAGTGGAGAGGTTCCCGCCGCGATAAGGTTTCATGAGTGTTAAAGAAGCAAAGATGTCGGCGTTGTTAACACCCCAGCCTTTGACGATGTCGCCGATTGCCTCATTATCGAAAGTGAGGAGTGCCTTCCAGAATCGTGCGTATTGGTGCCGGAATTCAGGTTCCATGTGGATATAGAGGCCGTGATCGATTAGAACAAGCTCAGAGTGGCCATTAGGCTTGCGGCGGATGAAAATATTACCTGGGTGAGGGTCGCAGTGCACCAACCCCCAAAGGAACATCTGTGCCGAGAAGAGATCTACCATAGTTGTCATGACTTCCTTCAACGAGAGGCCAAGGCCTCCGCGGCGATTCCTCCCGCGCCATTCGTCTCGATCTGGCTTAATCTTGAAGTTTGGGGATCGCGACGCCGTTGCGGATAGGGATTTGTTGGTCTTGGGAAGGTCTAACGGAGTTCCGCCACAGCCCGGGCTGCCTTGCCGCCAGCCTCCGCGCCATGTGCGTGTGATGGAGTCTTTATCCCAGAGTCTCACGCCCTCAACCCACTCGGCCGTCATGACGCGCTTGGAACTGAGCTCACGGTAAACTTTAGGAATGGACACACGATCTCGGAGGCGAGGCTCTCCTGCAACAAATTTTGCCATCATTTCGGAGTTATCGGCTTCGTTTTCAAAATCTGTCTCGAGGAAAAGGCGCTCGCTGACATAGGGCACAAGGCTGTAGAACGGGATATCGAAAACGCGACTGTAGATCCAGGTCACGACTCTTCGAGCTTGTTAGTAAAGAAGGAATCAAAAATATCACAGGGCAGGTATCATACTTGAAAGCCCATAGATCCCATTTTATTTGCTGTGCGATCTCTCGTTTCTGAATCTTGATGGCAATCTCTCTCCCATCCGCCAACCGAGCCCAGTGGACCTGGGCTACACTGGCGCTTGCCCTGGCAGTACGCTCCATGACTCCCTTCGTAGGATCTCCGCTGAAGGAGACGCCGAATACCTCCTCCGCGGACTTGCCAAAGTCCTGCCGGATGACCTTATCAACGTCCTTCCAGTCATTCTGGGGTGCATCGTCGAACATGCGTGAAAACATCTTCTGGAACTCCGGCGGTAAGATAGCGGATTGCATTGCAATTGCCTGGCCGATCTTCAAATAGAGTCCGCCATTCTGCCGTAGAAGGTCGGACAATCGCTCGGCGTTTCGAGCATGGACATCTGTGATGGAATTTGCGAGGGGCGGGTTCGGCCGGAAATTGATCTTGTAGTCCAGAGCTACAAGCAACCCCAGCGAAAAAGTTCGTGCGGTTCTGGTCAGGGATGAGGCGTAAAATTGGGTATCAAGGGCGTAGACTACGCCAGTCGCGACTGACAAGTAGAAGATACGGCGCAGCCATTTTCGGGTTCGGCGGTAGGTCTTCGCGGGTGTTGGTTTCCCTAGAGAGCTCGGTGGAGGAGGAACAAATGGCTGAAATTCGCTCGAATGTACATTTCGACTGAGCGACCGAGAGTAAGACAGGCGAGGGGGGTAGGGATGAGAGGAGAGGCGAGGGCGGAGATGACGCGGGGAAAGCACAAGACTCGTGAGCGAGGAGCTCGGGCGGAGGGCCCGAGACAAACAGGCGGATGCCATAGAAGAGAGATCAAGGTAGGTACGGACGAAGTGTCATGGCGCAGTCCCTGGGACAAGCTGGATTTAAAGAGCTGCGAGCTGCGGTGTAGCGGAGATAATGGCAATAGTGACGACTGAAAGTGAGACGACATCGGGAAATCGACGCCGATTTCCCGACACGGAGATAACAGCGCTCTCGGCATATTATGAGATACATTGCGTTTATATACATTATATACAGTAGCTATCCATTGTTGTTTCAGAATGTATACATCTGCTCCATCACTGGCTCGTACGTCAACTGCTTGCACACCTTTGCGTAGTCCCTCATGTTGTTTGGTATAATCTCCTCCCACAGCTCGTCCGACTCGAGATACTCCAGCTGCCTACGACATACCGGCTCCGAGGCCATCGGCAGCAGCACGGGCATGTTGGCAATTGCTGATCTGAGGAAATTCCTCTTGAAGCAATTTCCAAACGCTGCCAGGAGTTCACCATCGGCGCAGATGTCTCGTCCTTGAAGTTTTGGCCCGCATTGTCGCTTGATGATGTCGGCCGCATCGTCACCGAGTTTCAACATCGCTTCCTCCTGCTTCGGGGCGTTAAGCGTCTTCATCATGCTGCGAACGGCGGGGACAAAGGTGTTGTTGCGGGTCCAGAGGTCCCAGTGAGGCACTGTCGGCTGGCATCCTCGAGCGCAGACTTCGTTCTGGAACTTGTTGAACAGATCGTTGGGGCGTGCGACCAGCGCTGTCACGACTCTTATGCAGACGGCGCTGAATGCAGCGGTGGAGAGGGGCAGGCAGAGGAGTAGCAGAGGAAATAGTATGGTAAAGCGCATATTGGCTGGAGAGCGTAACTGGCGTAGGTTGGCAGGGAGGTTGTCAGAGGCAAAAAGTGAGCGTGAGGGACGATCTCCTTTGTGGAGGATCGACGGCCAACGATATATTCCGCCATCCCCGCGGGCCCGTGGACTCTCTCGCTCCCATTGAACACCGCCTCGGTTCCTATACAACTAGACAGAAGTATCTACAATTTACCGAACAGACTCGGTCTACGGTGGAAGAGGCTCTCGGTGCATTTTGGTCTCCATTGATCCTGATCCTGGTTGATTTTAGGGGTGATGTGAGATTGCAGCCCACCCCCACCGAGAGACCGAGGTGGTTTTTTTTTCCATCTGTTCCCATCCCTGATCCCTTTGGATTGTTCTGGGTATTTCTTTGACTATTGAATCCGTAATGTCGCCGCTGAATCTCGTTGAAATCGACTCCCTAGAGGCTCATGTCCTCATTGACAATGAACTGGACCCCATGTCACCCATCGCTCCAGACACCGTCCAGGTGTCGGGTCTGATGGGCCATCTGGCTATGGGCTCGCCCCATAATCTAGACGATAGAGGAGACGCGCATAAGGAACTCAGAATGGAGGACCTCTGTTGTTCAGCCCATGGTCTATCAATTCTTTTGGTACGCATTGTCCTAGCCATCCATTACGCGCGCCTTGCTGACCCAGCAGACCGCAACAAAAGGAGGCAAGAAACACTCAATTCTTTTCGATGCGGGCCCAGAAGAAGACGCATGGGAGAGGAACACCCGGCGAATGCGACCGGATCTTTCCTCGGTGGAGCTGGTTCAACTATCCCACTGGCATCGGGACCATTCAGGTGAGTTGACATATGAAAATGCAAGACCCCAACGCTAAAGCAATACAGGCGGTCTCCCCCGGGCGGTTCGCATGATCAATGATGCCAAAGAAGCCAACGGGCTTCCTAGAGACTTGATAGTTGATGTTCACTCCAACCGCCCTGACTTTCGCGGGTTCGCCATCGGCGAGAACATCATCTCTCTCCAAGCGGATCCTTCTTTCGAAGAGCTCGAAGCTGCCGGCGCAACCATCGAGAAACAAGACGTCGCCCATACCGTGCTTGACGATTTCTTTCTCATATCTGGCGAGATACCGAGACGGACACCTTATGAGACAGGATTGAAATACGGGATGCGTTTCAACAAGAATGATAACGAATGGACTTCTGACGAGGTTATTGCTGACGAGCGATTCATCATGTGCAATATCAAAGGTACGCTAATTGCATTTGTTTTGCCAACCCCAAATTTTCACATGCAACGCTAACGAGATTCCTTCAGACAAAGGAATCGTCATGCTTACTGGCTGCAGCCACGCTGGAGTCGTCAACTGCACGCAGCATGCGCTTGAGCTTGCAGGGGGGCGTGTCCGTCTACATGCTGTTATTGGGGGTTTCCATCTGGCGACGAGTGACGCAACTCAAATAGAAAGCAGCATCAAAGACTTGCTGAAATTGGACCCCGCTGTACTTATCCCAGGGCATTGCACCGGCTGGAGGGCTAAATTTGCTATCGAGAAGCGACAGCCTGGGATGTTAGTCCCATGCTCTGTAGGTTACAAGATCGTATTTTAGCGGTCCTGTATTCTGCAACTGCCTTGTCCTCGAGTCACAGGCTTTCTGTCAAGCTGTCATTACTAAAACACGAGCTAGCCGAGGACTATGGCGGGCTCTAAGCAGGGTTCTCCGCACAGTCCAAAACGCTACTTGTGGTGTTGACCAACCATCTTGTAAAGTCAAGACAGTCCATACACCTTGACTCAGGCATAGCGACTCCGCTATACTACTCCTCGCCGGCTCGTCAACATTTAAACGGCCAACACTGCCATGATGAAATATAACAAAGATATTGTGAAAATATCGAGAATATGGATATCAAGACATACCTCTTAATCCTGCTGAGCCCGGTGCTCGCCGTCGTCGGCTTTTTGATATTCTATATACTTACGAGGCCGATTAGAATCTTCCTCCATGACCGTCGAATATATCGCAAAGGCGGAGCTCATGCGCCCTCGGGTCCTCAGGATATCATCTCAGGTATCTGCATTTGTCACTGCGTAAACCTCTCTGATGTACGAGAGCTAAGGTACTGAAAGCCACCCGCTTCTTTTTTGCTGTCGTCAAGGCGCAGAAGGAGCACCGCCTATACGAGTTCTTCAACAAGTGCCTTGAGCACGGCAACCCATCATCGCCAAACTGCGTTGAGAGCAACCTCTTTGGCTCATTCCGGGTCATTCAAACCCGCGAGCCCGCGCACCTCAAGGCCGTCTTGACCGGGAAGTTCGCAGACTTTGGCAAGGGCGAGCTTTTCCACGAGCTCTGGATCCCGTTTCTTGGGGATAGTATCTTCACTACCGATGGCAAAGAGTGGCAGGGTAGTCGTAACCTGATCCGGCCGATGTTCATCAAGGACCGGATCAGTGATCTTGACATCTTCGAGCGAAAGGTCCAGATTATGCTGAACTTATACAGCCCTTCGGGTGAACCAACCGACGTTATGGACCTGTTCTACCGAATGACCCTGGATGCCATCACTGAATTCCTTCTTGGAAAGAGCATCGACAGTCTCGAAAACCCACAGGCCGACTTTGCCGTGGCCTTTGCGGAAGTCCAACGCATCCAAACATTGCTGACGATGATCGGGCAAGTCAGCTTAGCAAAAACAACTAAACGAATTCATCGCTAACAAATCTCCAGCCCAGCTCAGCATTTCTATCCACGCGGGAAGTACAACGAAGGCCTCAAGGTCATCAACGACTTCGTCTGGCCATTCGTGCACGAAACCCTAAGCCTCCAATCCCACGAAGTAGAAAAGGGCCCAGAAAAGTCCTTCACCTTCCTACACGCCCTAGCAAACTACACCCGTAACCCCAAGACCATCCGCGACCAGGTCGTCTCCGTCCTCCTCGCCGGCCGCGATACCACCGCCGCAACGCTCTCCTGGACCTTCTACGAACTCTCCCACTACCCGGAGACCTACGCAAAGCTCCGGGCCGAAGTCCTTGCCAAAGTCGGCCCGTCTCGCGCACCCACATACGACGACCTCAAGAACATGCCCTACCTCCGCCACACAATCAACGAGGCCCTACGCCTCTACCCAGCCGTGCCATACAACATCCGCTTCGCGCTCACAGACACCTCCCTCCCCACAGGCGGCGGCCCAAACGGCGATCTCCCCATTACAGTGCTAAAGGGCGACGCCGTAACCTACTCAACGTATGCCATGCAGCGGCGCGCAGACCTGTACCCGCCTGCGTCCGAGCACTTCGCAGACCCTGGGATTTTCTCGCCGGAGAGGTGGGAGAAGTGGGCTCCCAGGCCGTGGCACTATATCCCGTTCAATGGGGGGCCGCGGATCTGTATCGGGCAGAACTTTGCGCTGGCGGAGATGGGGTATACGATTGTGCGGATTGTGCAGCGGTATGAGCGGATTGAGTATGATGGTGATTGGGAGGGACAGTTTCATAAGTCTGAGATTGTGGGCACGCCGGGGATGGGTGTTAAACTGCGTATGTATGAGGCGAGTGGATGAGTTGGTCTTTATTGTTATGTTATGTTTTGTGAAGTATATGAATATGAAAAACATGAATGCAGTATCATCTTGGATGGAGGCAGATAGTCGAATATCTACGTTCGCGATGTTCTTTGTGAAGAGGCTCGTAGTTTGCATGTCTATAGATGGGTGGCCTTTGATATTAGATTGTTGATATGCTAGCATGCGAGGAAGGTTCTATGATCTTGCCTTGGGAAGACAAGTCGAACTAGTCTATAGTTGTTGTTGGCCATTGGAATATACTGAGAATGGTAGATTGGAAATAATGTCTTACTTGTCTCCGGCCATGGCCTGATATCAACTAGATGTTACCACTACTCCCAGATTCAATATATATATGTCTTTTCTGTTTATATTGGAATCATGCTTAAAACATGTAATGTTCTACCAAGAATCTGATATAGTTATCTAAGTATTCATGATATGATAACCAGTAATACGTAGTTAGACAGTATATCTATTCAGTTATTCGACATCACCCTGGACATGAATATCCTCGACATGTCCAATTCAACTCCTATCCCCGGCAAATCCAACCTCGCTCTAACTGCCTCCAATCGACGGAGAAATACTCGCTGAAACTCGACAATTGGCCAGCTGTGCCGTCCGTACATACGGGGTAATAATCCAGAATAATCATCGACATCCCCTATCTGACCCCATCCCACCCACTCCCATCCCATCCCATCCCCAGCATTATTACTGTAATTAGCACACAATTTTAGGTAAGTACGAAATTATGGGCAGCAGATAACAATGAAACGGGGCACGGGCAAATCATGCAGCGCGAGCCTTGCATCGAGTATCCACGGCCAGCACTGACTTCCTGAACAGAATGCCAAGCCGATGATTTGAAAAGGGGAATGTTTAATGTAAATAGCGCCGTATCGATGTCGATCCCCCGGAAAGGAGTCGAGGTGAGTTGCATGGAGTACGGAGTCACTGCTCACTGCCTAATTGATTCACTGCAGACTGGTATACGGCAGCTGAGCCGAGGAAGTTGCTGCCTCTGCTAACTATAGAACTTGTATAGTTCTATTCCCCAGTTGACGTAGACTGGGGATGAGTTGGCTGAGGCAGTGCACGTATAGGCCTCAATATTCTTTCAACATTCCTTGGCTGGCTTCAACCTTGCCAAGGTCCTGAGCACATAATTCAGATCCAAGCGCGAAAATGTCGCCAAAACAAACAGTTGACCAGATACACATCTGGAGGAAAGGAATGCATGGCAGGGGGCTTGGCGAGAGTGCTGCGGATGTTGCAATAATTGAGTTTGAGCGTGTTGACTCCGTGAAGATGGACGATGGAATGGTGCTACCTATTGGATCGGACGTATACAGAGCAGCCTGGACTGGGGGAGGAGGCGGTGTTTTGCATGCCAAGATGTGCGACAGACTCTAGAGTCCATACAGAGACTGGAGGCTTATCAGTGTCAGACGATGACTGCGAGTTATTATTCCCCTGTTATCGCCAAAGGGATACGCCAAGCGCGCCTTGCTGTCTCGCTCGTCCATCGCAATTGCTTGGCCCGCGCTGCCGGCTCATCCTGGATCGTCTCTTATCATGCAAGCTCTGCTGCTGCAGGCCTGATTTGCCTTTTTTAACCTCTCGCCCCGTGCCCAGCATCTTGGCCTTTTCTTCTCCTGACCGATCGGAGTTCTCGTCCCAAGACATGATCGACGGCCCGTACATACATAGTCTGCTCCTTTAAGTTCACGACCTCATGCCTAAAGCGCGCATCGCTGGGGGATATTCAGGGTTTCAGGTCAGCTGGGGCGCCTCCACGGAATATCTCTCTCGGCACTGCAGACTGGCAGTCAGGTACACAAGTATACGTGCTCATGATCGACCGGGCCAAGTCCGACTTGCATTCAGTCAACAGAATTCGAGTCTCACTGGGACTGCGCAGCACGATGTTTGACTCGTCGAGACACGACTGACTAGTTCATCCTCCCCGTGCGTGCCCAGCAGTCGATCACCTCAGACGAAGACGAGTAGAGACGTAGATAGTTACAGCCACCGTCACTGTCGCGGCCTGCCCCACGGTGCGGCGCCCGAAACGCGGACGAGACGAGACGGGACGAGGTGAAGTGAGGGATATCCATGGAAGACAAGAATAGAAGAGTCGACGTCACATTAGGCATCTGCCATTGCCAGCCACCTGCAAGCTGTAACGCGCTCCGACTCTGGCGGTTTGGGAAGTCGGTCGATCTGCACTGCCTGCTTGGCGGACGCAACATGCCTTCTGAATATACTCCTCTGGCTGGTCACTTGGTCACTTGCTCCAGCTCGATGGGGATGAAGATGCAGGCTTGGCTGGCCGTTACGTGTTCCAGTGTTCTACATGGACGAAAATTGCTGAGGCTGGCCGGTAACGACTCTGTACTGCAAGTGCCTCTACGAAGGAAGTCTGCTGCCTACCCTGCTAGAGGACGCAGTAGTGAAGGACACTACTCCAGACCCGAAGTTTTGCCTCTGGTGAAGAATGGGGTTGCGGGGTGTGATCGCGATCCGGTGCTGCTATCCATGTAGATGATCCCTTGGCATGGCTTCTGTGTCACTGCGACTGTTACTTTGGGATTGAATGGGCAAGGATGGTCGAAGTGGTCGAAGTGGTAGAAGGTTTCTGTGAAGGTACGCCTGTCTTGGATAAGGTGGTAGATGAGATAGTCCAATTATGCAATTCTATATCTTGTCACGACAGTTAGCATCAATATGCTTCAAGCACTCAAGAGTCTCCTCGGAAACAGACAGCTGAGTCCACATCCGCATGCACCTCGTACCTTTTCCAGAAAAATCTGAATCCACCCAAAGAACGACCGGCTCTGGCACAGGCACGGAAAGTTCTTCGACGTTCCAAGTCCAAGGCCTCGAATTCGCGCGACCGTGGAACAGCACGCGCGCCAGCGAATAATCCGCCGGGCCTCACTGGCTGGCTGGCTGCAAAAGGCAAAGAAGGATTAATGTGGCTCCTGACGTGCCGATTCCCGTGAAGCCGCCATGTCTTACTCCGTAGTTAGCGAAGACTCCAGACTGCAGACTGCAGCGCCGTGACGAATGCCTCGTCAGTTTCCGGTAAGGCCGAGCGACCTGACCCCATGGAGAGCGAGGGAAATTGCCGTCTAGCTCTTCTCAGCAGGAACTCGACTGACCGTCGCCTGGATTCGGATTCGCATGAGCGATTAATTAATTCTCTGGCGAACGGACGAGCAAGATTGTTATTTTGTCCGATCCGTCCGGTCCGTCGCAGGTCGGAGTTTCGCTCTCGTTTGGGCAACTCTACTCTCACTCTCGCTCTCGCTCTCTCTCGATCGGATTCTGTCGGCTCGTCCTCGTCTTCTTTCCAATTCCAGCTTCAACGACTGCGTGCACGGTTCCGCCAAGCCGTGGTTAATCGGCATCTCCCCCTCTAGCTGGTGATCATGAAGGCTGTCCTCTAGTAGTCTGGCTGCGCTTGGACAAAGGGTCCTGGCTTCTTAAGTACTACTCCAGAACGAACCACCTTACCCTCGGGTTTCCGATGCGGATATGGGAAACGGGTGTTTTGGCTGTCACTGAAGCCTTCAATTCCCGATATCGATATTATTATTAAGTGCATCATCTACGTAGATACCCGAATGTGCCAGAGTCGATCAACTTGGCTCGCTTCTAGAACGTTACGAACTGACGATTTCCGACGTTGACGATCGTGAGCCTGGGAATAATAATACCTCATACTCCCGAGATGAGTTTCCATCCCGCGTCTTCTTCCACGATGCCAGGTGCCTCCAAATTCTAGCTGCTTTGGGATTCAATCGGGCTTGGTCCGGCTTGTTGCCTTCTGCCTCCTGCCGCCTGCCATCGCTGCCATCCGTGGCTGTAGCTGTACTCGGGGCTCAATCCTTCAACAACGACGAGATGCGAATATGATCGTCAGATGGGGAAGGGTTCATTTCTCGTGCATGTAACTAGGCACGGAGTCTCGATATTTTGGTCGTACGGGAGTAGTCGTAAGATCAATTGATACGAATGCGAAGCGGCCTCCTCCCGACAGAGCGTAAACTCCCTGTAACTCCAATGCACTTGCTAGCAGTTGCTATGATCTTGGCACTTGGCGACGGCCATTCCTACTTTACTCCTGCGAATGCGATTGACTGTCTCCGCCTTCTCCGAGTCAATAATTTAATAAGGCATTCGAATCAATTGATTGATCTTGCGACTACATCTTGGAAGCGCCCGCTCTGATTTGTGAGCGCCGCGAAAGGTCAAACTCACCTCACTTCCAGCCAGCTCCTCAGAACTCGCAGCTCTGGGCAGAGGGCAGAAAATCCCTCACCAAGATCATCGATGCGACAGCTTGGCACGGGCGATCGTCTCCGGAGCAGTGGGGAGCACTCTTGACGAGTGAGCAGCCGTGCCGTCACCTGCATCATCCTCCATTATCTTGAGCAATTTGGTGTTCCTCTGACTAAACCAATTTCCACGCCCTGGGCCTATTCAGGCTTAGCGCGTGCTTGCAATTGTGCCTCTGGTGAGTGGCCTTAAGTGCCTTTCGTGCCTCGTGTCTGCTTCCTCGGTACGCCCTGATACGCACTGATACGGCCCCGTTACACCGGTGTCAAACTACTGTAGGAACAATGGAGCCAAGACCTCCATGGAGCTCAATAGTCGATGTTAGTGAGCGATCGTAATTCGACTCTGAGGAACTGATAGACGAAATGTTCTATTAATACCAAGACCCCATATCTTGATATCACGGCCTTGTTTATCGTTCATCAGCGTATTTGATCATATCCTGGCCGAAAATCTACTCTTCCCCGTTCCCCGACTTTCTTCTTATGGGGGGGAATACTTTACTTTACGCGGTTTGTATCGTCGTTTCAGTATAACTTGCCTCAACGGGTAAGGCACGGTACGGGCTGGCCCGCTAGCCAAGTTGGGAATTTCGCTTCCCCGACGGGGCTCTGACTTCTTACCAATGCCAACCAAAAAGCTACAGG